AAAAAATACAAACGAAATAGAACATCTTTTTTCTAGTCTTTGATATATATCTAGCAATAATGTCGTGATTCTGTCAGTTTGAAACAGTCGTCCCGCTGTGTCTAGTCTCAGACATGTAGCATCTATAAAGATTGTTTTGCTGAAAACAACCCGATCTGTCACTGGCAGCCTCAACAAATGACGCTATTATTGTAATGTTGACCATAAAAAAGGTACTACTATGTCAAATTACAGCCTTACTATTCTCTACTCGCCACCGGGTATTATATCGATTGAAAGAAGAAAGAAAGAAAGAAAGATTTATTTTCAAGTAAACTTAAATTTATTTATATTATTAAAACATGAAATGATATTCTAATTGACGTGGGATGGGGGGAAAGGGATTGTTAGTAATGGAGACTGAGAATCCTATTGCTAGCAATATACCCAACCATGTCGACCTCCTCGCGGTTCCCCATGGAAACTGTCATGATTAATTCCAGATGAATTCATCATGATGGGTTAACTGGCCTGTTTTCATCCTCATCTATCACCCTTCACTGGTGCCCCGCCAGCGTATCCCGTTAACGCAGGTGGGGTTACAATACCATTTTCTACCAATAAAAAAAACATTTACGTGGGATTAAGAAATAATATGGTAGAACGCGCTCTGACTTGAATTTTTAACTACATAACCATTATTAAAATTAAAATAATATATTAATAGTAATGTACAATTAATATAACATTCTAATTAATAATGAAAGATTATGTCACACAGAAAATGGTCTGAATTGAAAGAAAGATAGAGAAATATAATTATTCAAGTAAACTTAAGCATTTTTGAAATGTCAAATTTTTTCATTACCGCCCATTCGGAACGCGATTTCAGCCAAGAACAGACAAGTAACTCAGCTGTTGCTTTTTTCGAAATATTTAATTATATAAATAATGAATTTGTGTGACTATAAACTACTAAGCAGTATCAGATCACAGAATTTAAAATATATAGTAAATAAATGGCCGTGTGGTCCCGGCGTAGAATAGGTAACCCTTTCCTTTCCCGTGGGTGTCGTAAGACTAAGGGAGAGCGAGGGATGGGCAGCAACGACCCTCTTAAAACATCTCTGTAGCCTAACTGCGATTGACGACCTGCTTGCCAAACATGGCAACTACTGGCAAAACCCCGCAAGCGGGAGGCTTCTTTAGCAGTGGACACTCAAAAGCAGATATGGTAAGACGAATGACTTGTAACACATATTTATTTTTGATGTAAACAGCAGAATAGTGTAATAAAATGTATTTATATGTATTTGTAATATAGTTTCTAAGTTTAGTGAAAAAAACAAGACATGCTTTACTGACTGTCAGATGAAATTAAAAAACGAATATATGTTCAAAAACATCAACGTAAACAGCCAGTATTAAAACTCCAACAGTTTTTACCCTACATAGTGGATTTTGTGTTTACACTTTTTTTTATCAGCACAAAATACGACCACGTCGTCCAGGGTCAACACAGTTTTTTAGCTTTTTCACTCCGCAAAGAAAAATTGTAGCTCTAGGAAATTAAAATAAAACTAATACGGTAGGAAATTTTATTAATTGAAAAAAAATATCATAAGAAACAGCTCAAAATTGGCAACGTTTGATGTAATCGCATACTGCACATATTTACAAAAAAAAAAAATACATGAAATGAGTATCTCCTTTCGAAAAACATTTAAAACGAACAAAATACTTTTTGTGAGACACAAAAAAACTACTTCAATTATGACAAAACCAGTTATTTTGATCTAAAAATTATACCAGAGAGTGATTTTGTACAAAAGTCGTTTGATTGGGTACCTCTGTCCCATTCGTGTTTCTACCGTCAATCATTTATATATCCATAGTCGTGTTTCAGTTTGAAGGATGGGATATGGCGTGAATTTATAAGGTACAGAGGGATAACACCTGGGTCCTCAGGAATGGCAACGTATAGGGGGTATCATGGGTGAAACAGTATACTCTGTTATGTCCATGGTACTGCTCATGTCGACAGTTACCACTTTCCATCAGGTGGGCCGTCAGCTTGTTTGCCATTCTAAGTTGTATAAAAAAGACTACGGAACTGATTTTGTTACAATTTCTATATATTTGGGGCCAATCTATAAGTATATACTTTCAAATCAAAAAAAGAACTTTCCAAAGTGGTTTACAACTGGTGGAGTTATGAGGTAACAGACATAAAAAATACAACGGATTTGATAACCTCCTTCTTTTCAAAGTCGGTTGAAAATACAAATCAGTAACGTTCCGCCGAAGGATGCCCAGTTAATAATATCCCTCGCCAGCTGTAATACAACGCCGTATATGTCCATATGTCCATCTTCATTACCGCGCCGGTGTATTTTATTTTTTATAAGCTATCCAGACGTAATGCAATATCTGTTTATCTTGTTTTAGTACCAGTGATAGATTACGTTTTTTTTTTTTGTCATTTTATTTATAATACTTCTACTAATAATTAAGATTTTGTTTCACAAAAAAGCACTAAATTCTCGTGTGAATCGTTACAAAATCAAAATTAGAAAGAAACAAAAATTTGATTTAAAAACTATTTAACTGAAGCATTACTTATAAAATTTCTATGGGATGGATCTTTTTTTTTTTTATTAGCACAAGGGTCAAACGAGCATGCGTCTCACCTGATGGTAAATGACTACCGCCGCCCATGATCACTCGAAACACCAACGGTATTGCTTTGCTGCTGGTCTTTTAAAAATTTATATTATCTTTTCTTGAAAATGAATGGTTATGATGTCGTATCGCTACATATATACATATATACTGTTGTATATATGTATATATAAAAATATATATATATATATATATATATATATATCTAAAAATACAAAAATACTTATAAATAATAAAAATATTTTTCAAATCAATTTATAAATGACGAAGTTATAAGACGATAACTTTAAAAAAATACAACTTTTTAAATACGGCTGTATAAATATTTCCACTACTCGCACACCTACTTAGTGTTTAAGAGGAAATACCGCTTAAAATCTTATGTGGATGCAACCCAAATATCAAGTAAATATAAGTAAGTCTCCTTTCACCTTTAAGAAACAGACTCTATATCCTGACGAGATAAAATAACGCTACAAAAAACATCTTAAAATTCCTTGATCATTGATAGGAATTTGCAGTGAACTTTAAAATAGAGCGAGTACTAAAGATCATAGAAAGGTTTTTTCTGCCCGTCCAAGTATTTAAGTATGTATAAACACAATATTGCTTTTGGAATGTATATCACAAATTTTTTTAAATTAATTTGCATAGTACTTCAACAAACTGAACTAACGTAAGGACCTTCGAAAGTAACCTTAAAAAAAAGAATATGGTTTCGTCTATTCTCGCAGTTTCACGTCAAATGGATGATAATGGTATAATAGTTCTAACTATAACTTCGGTGTGCTTTGGCAAAGTACCACTGAGAATGAAAACAGGTCAGTTGGATCATCGAGATCGATCTGAGTTGCAATATTACAGATGTATACAGCCTGAAACAGCCCGAATAGCTAAAATATATACTTACATATTTTATATGATAATTTCAAAATCTATGATGATTGGCAGTTACATGGAAATTTTCTCATATATATATATATATATATATATATATATATATGTTTAAGCAACTAATTCATGTATTCTCTTCCAGCCAGCTCTATTCCAGGCCATATCTTTGACCCTCCTATTTTACCATACATGCCACCTAGTGTTTCCTTTATCTGCCCCATATAGTTATTTCTCGGTCTTCCCATTCCTCTTTTACCCTCTATTTTTCTTCTGGCGTGCTCTTTAAAAAACCGTCATGTCATAATATTTATAGGAATTACAAATATATACAGATTTTCTTTATATATATATATATATATATATATATATATATATATATATATATATATATATATATATATATATATATATATATATATGTATGTATATGTATATAGTCACTTTTCCCAATACATCCGCGTGTTTTGCGGATGTAAGACGGAAGTTAATTCCGCAAACATTCCGCCTTGTATTTCTGTTTTCCGCCATTTTATCAAACGCGACGGTACTGTGGCAAATTGGAAAATGGAATAGGTACTTTTTGTTGTACTCGTATTTTTCTCATCAGTGGCTACCAGATTAGATAGCTGAATATATTAACAATTTTTGTTCAAATTTTTTTTTTAATTAAAATACATCAAAAATATTTTGGTATGATATAACTGCTGTGAAAGTAAATGACTCGAGAGAACAAGAATTTTAATTAGAAATAACTTCGTATCATTTTAATAACTTAAATATTCTGGTGTGAATAACATGAAATGCCAAACAAGCTGACAGTCCAACTGACAGCCCAGTATAAAAATCACGAGGAATTGTCCAACTCCAAGAAGTGCGTTGTTTAATATCTCATTTCACAAACTTTGTATAACTGGGACATACAAAACTGTCTAGATCACTTCTCTCACACTCTTCATCATCATTAACTGTTCACTGCAGAACATATTCCTCCTCCATAGTAGAAGGGTTTCGTCAGTAGTTGCCACGCTTAGCAGGCGGGTTGGCAACTGCAGATAGTGATGACGCCTTAGTGATGTTTTAAGAGGGATACTGCTATATGCCCATTCCTGGACCATTAAATTCGTACGTAAAGAATCCTATGTTCTAAGTTAGGATATATCCTACCAGTTTATCAAATTTCGTTGAAATCCGTTCAGTAGTTTTTAATTGAAAGAGTAACAAACATTCGTCTGTTTTCTCATCCACCCATCGTTACAAACTTGGACAACAATGTTCCTCTTTAACCATGACTAAAGCCTAACTGCGGTTTCCAACTCTCCCGCCAATTGCCGCCGTGGAAACTACTGACGCCCCCCCCCCCTTTCCTAATTGGGGATGGGCTATTTTTAATAGTGGATAATTTAGTCTACCTACGAACGCGTAAGTGATCGGGTGCAGAAATAAAGATGTCTACGGATATTGTAAAGTGTACACAGTGTAATATCGTTATAAACGAGCTACTATGTTTCGTGCAAAATAAAATTGACGTGATGGACGAAGAAAGTTTAATACGCCTCATTGTGGGTGAATTCTCAACCTTAGAAATAAATAATGCAAAAGAGTTGTTGTTTTCGTCGATTTCAACTACCGTCAAAAATATTTCAAGACGTAAAAATAGGGAACAAAAGGAAACAGAAGACATTATATGCGTACTTAAGAATACAGATCCGGATAAAACACCTATTTTTGTGGCAAAAGAATTACAAAAACTGCCGCCTGTAACTTTTGATCACATAGATGCCACTAGGTTGTTAAAGGACATAATCGTATTACAATCAGATGTCAAACAGATAAAGGACACCTATGTTACGAATGAGCGGTTAAATAATTTAAAAATTGAATTAAATAACATGAAATACGCATCATTAGTAAATTGTGACAATGTAAACAATAAACGAGGCGCGTATTTGTTGGATAGCGGACCGGCCGGGTTTTTAAATGTTTCACGTACACCCGCAAAAAATAGTACACCAGAGAAAAAAGATGTTTTTCAACAGTCTGTCTTACGATCACACTCGCAGGATAAAATAAATACGTCGCCGCAATCACAAACTAGCGATATCTCATTTGTACCTACAAATGTAGTTAATTCACCTCATCGAATATCGCAAATACGTGAATCACACACGCAGACAGCGGGTGTTACTACGGCATCGACGGGATCGGACTCTCGGCAAGCAGTCATGTTTACAATAACCAAACAGCTGACTGCCGGCACCGCTGCTCACACCGTAGCGAATCCTGTTAGTAGTGTGTGCATGAGTGAGAACGATAAGTCGATGGCAGGAATTGTTAAAGAAAAATGGAAACCTGAAAAAACACCTGAAAAATGGGTTCAGGTACAGCGAAAAAAACATAGAAACAGAATCGAAAGTATTAGAGGAAAAGCTAAAATAAATCCTAAAGATAGATTTAAACCAGCCGATTTAAAAATACCATTATTTGTATCAAACGTTCATAAGGATACCTCAGAAGAAGATATTATGGATTATATTCTGCTGAAAACAAGGGAAACTGTTTTCCTTCAGAAAATTAAAATGAAAACTGAGCGTGGCTATAATGCGTACAAAATTATGGTGGCGAAGCATAAACTCAACTTATTTTTAAACGATGAAATTTGGCCCGACGGTGTGACATGCCGCCGTTTTATGCCTTATAAGAATACTATCGCGACTAGCGACAAGCAGATAAGAAATACTTCCATTGTTAATGTTTGATACAACTCTAATTTCATACAATTGTAAAAATGTAAAAAGATCCGTAGAGGGTATAAGACAGCTGTGTGAATCTGCGGATATTATTGCACTACAGGAAACCTGGCTTTTACCTTGTGAACTATCATATTTGGAGAATATACATAAAGACTTTGCGAGTACTGGAACTTCGGCCGTCGACACGAGTTTAGGTATCCTCAAAGGGAGACCATACGGCGGATTCGCATTGTTGTGGCGTAGGTCGGTGTTTCAGTATGTCTCTGTGGTACCGTGTGTAAATCCGCGCATATCGGCAATTCGTATTGATACAAATGATCGGTCTGTGTTAATTATCAGTGTTTATATGCCGACTGACTGTACCGAAAATTTACCGGAATTTACGGATTGCTTGAGCATTATAAGTGCTATTATCGAAGAAAATAATGTTGAGTCGGTTTTTATTCTGGGAGATTTCAATGCGCATCCGGGTGAGCGTTTTTGTAACGAACTTTTGGACTTTGCTCTGGAACAGGATTGGGAGTGTGCAGATATTCATAAGTTAACTTTAGCGTCCGATACTTTCACATTTCTAAGTGAAGTCCATGGATGCAGTAGGTGGCTAGACCATTGTATTATAACTAAAGCGGCTTCACCGTGTATTCATAGTATATTTGTAAAATATGATGTTTATTGGTCTGACCACTTCCCCTTAGTACTTAAGTGTAATTTTAATGTAATTAAGAAAAAAATCACATTGAAAACTCCTGTTAACAATAAAATAAAGTGGGGTGAAAGGAATTTAGAACAAATTAATGCCTATCGCGATGAATGTAATACCGAGTTAAAAAACATAGAAGTGCCATGCGAGTTTAAGGAATGTTATGGTAAATATTGTGATCATATAAACCACAGATATATTATAAATAATATATATAAAAATATTGTAAACATACTATGCCAAGCTGCTACTAATACTTACATAAATAATATTAATTTAAATATGTGTAACAAAATGGGTGATAAACGTACTTTGGCAGGTTGGAATAGGCATGTGAGCGAGGCTCATTTGAGTGCCAGGCGACATTTTAGTGAGTGGTTATTCTTTGGAAAACCTTCCAGTGGGCCATTCTATGAACGTATGATCGAGTCACGTAAGATATTTAAGGGTAGACTGAGATGGTGTCAGCGCCATCAGGAACAAATCAGAATGGACCAAATAGCCACGCATCACTCTAGAGGTGACTTTAAGAGATTCTGGAAAGCCACCAACAAGCTGAATGTTAAGCCTGGCACTCCGGTGAGTGTTGATGGCGCTTCCAGGCCTGCACATATTGCTAAAATATTTAAGGAACATTTTACAGTGCACTCGCCTTTGGGACCATCGTCTCGGGGGTCTCTCATCGTCTCAATGTTAGTGGTCAATATACAGTGTCAACGAAAATTGTAACCAAAGACATTGAGTATGCAATTAATAAAATGAAGAAAGGTAAATCACCGGGGCACGACCACCTCAGCATTGAGCACCTGAGACATGCTGGCTCTCATCTTCCACGGGTACTCGCAATGCTATTCAATGTATGTGTGAGTCACTCGTATTTGCCTCCAGATTTGATGTCGACTCTGGTGATACCCATTGTCAAGAGCAAGACGGGAGATATGTCAGATAAATCAAATTATAGACCCATTTCCTTGGCAACTATTATAGCCAAGGTGTTTGATAGTGTGCTGAACTATTACTTACATAATCATATAAACCTTCATGACGGACAGTTTGGTTTTCGGCCCGGATTGTCTACCGAGACTGCTATATTTAGTTTAAAGCACACTGTCAAATATTATACTGACAGACAGACTCCAGTTTATGCCTGTTTTCTAGATCTCTCGAAAGCTTTCGATATGGTGTCGTATGACGTTTTATGGCAGAAATTAAATGATACCGGGCTGCCTCCAGAGTTGATTTCGGTTTTTAAATATTGGTACCTTGAACAGGAGAATCGTGTGAGATGGGCAGATGAGCTCTCGGAGCCATACAGACTGGAGAGTGGGGTGAGACAGGGAGGGTTAAGCTCACCTTTACTTTTTAACCTATACATGGATTCACTGATCGAGCGACTCAGTGGCATGCGCGTTGGCTGTTACGTGGACGGCGTTTGTGTTAATAACCTCAGCTATGCTGATGACATGGTGTTGCTGGCTCCCTCGGTCAGTGCATTAAGAAAACTGCTCGCTGTGTGCGAGTCGTATGCTATTTCACACGGTTTGATATACAATGTAAAGAAAACTGAGTACATGGTCTTTAAGGCGGGTACCAGGTGTCCAACATATATACCTCCTATTATGTTGGATAGTGTTCCAATTAGAAGAGTGCATCAATTTAAATACCTTGGTCACCTGGTGACCACCAGCCTTAGAGACGATGTAGATATGGAGAGGGAGCGTAGGGCTTTGTCGGTCCGAGCCAATATGTTGTCTCGCCGATTTGCGCGATGTACAGATGCAGTAAAAATAACACTATTTAAAGCGTATTGTACATCGTTGTATTCGGCGAGTCAGTGGTTCCAGTATACTCGGGGGGTCTGCAATGCCTTGCGTATCCAATTTAATAATAGTTTCAGGTTACTGTTGCGGCTTCCGCGCTTCTGTAGCGCCTCAGCGATGTTTGCCGCCGCTCGCACAGATAGTTTTGACGCAGTCTGGCGAAAAAAGACAGCTTCGTTTTTACGTCGAATACGCGGGAGTAGCAACAGTATCCTGAACATGTTTGTTAATAAATTGGATAGTCCTCTCGTGAAAATGCTCTCCGAGAGGACTAGATCATTATTAGTAATTAAGTATTAACATAGTTTTTAAGTACACTTACTAACAAGAATGGATCCCAGTTGTCTGGAACAAAATAAATAAATAAAAAAAAAAAAAAAAAAAAAAATTAATGACTGATAGGATAATGATGAAAAATAATACAAAAGTACAGGTAAATTGAAAACTACCTCCTTTTTTGAAATCGCTTAAAAATTGCACAACGAATTTCAACCAGGTTTGAAGGAGGGAAAGGGATTGTTAGTAATGGAGACAAAAAATCCCATTGCTAGCAATATACCCAACCAGGTCGACTTCCTCGTGGTTCTCCCTGGAAACTGTCATGGTTAATTTCTGATGAATTCATCATGATGGGCTAACTGGCCTGTTTTCATTCTCATCGATCACCCTTCACTGGTGCTCCGCCAGCGTATCCCGTTAGCGCAAGTGGAGTTACCATTCCATTTTCATCTTTTTATACAACTTAGAATGGCAAACAAGCTGACGGCCCACCTGATGGAAAGTAGTAACCGTCGCCTATAGACATGAGCAGTACCATGGACATAACAGAGTATACTGTTTCGCCCATGATACCCCCCATGCGTTGCCATTCCTGAGGAATCATCTACCAAAAAAAAACCAGGCTTGAAGTAAACGCTATACTGGTGATTTAATAATAAATCATTAGACCATAACCCTCTGAAAAATAAACATTCACGTGGTATTACAATAACAAAGATATTTACACAAACCTAAGGAAATATGATTCCAGTTAATTCCAATTGGTAAACTCGAATGTTCGCCCGCTGTTTTAATAAAAGAGACTGTTTTTTCCGTTTAATAAAACGCGGAGAAATTCGCGCCATTACATCCGGGACAAAGATCAACTTTCGGAATTGCTTAAATGCTTGTTGGCATTATCTAATTTTCTCTCTTTCTGTTTTATACTGTTTTAAGCAGATAGGTACAAATTATATAACGAGATAGATGTTAAAGCAACGTGCCGTGCATGCACGAATTGCAGTTTCTAAGTGTAATTTAATATTACTCGTATCTGGCCACAGCAGAATATCAGTGTTTTGCTCTTTTGAGGGCGAAACAGTGGACTGAGTTGTGACCATTTTGTGTTACTATGACACCACATATGAAAGGAAAAAATTGTTACTACATTTATGTATTTTGCTTTTTTTGTATAAGTATTCTTTTTTAAATACACAATCGGGACTTGACGTGATGAAAATGTGGATTTCCATTCCAAATGCTACTGGCCATCCCTCCAACATAAGCTCCCTTAGTTGCCTCTTACGACACCCACGGGAAAGGAAGGAATGGCCTTTTTCTATGCCGGAACTTACGCAGCGAACTTACATATGTATTAACAATTATTATATCTACACTATTTCTCACACAATTCTACGTAAAATGTACATAAACAATAGATCGCCACTAAATGCCTCTTCATACAAATACATAGTTAATACATTTGGACAATACAACAATGGCCGACTATTGTTATTCGGGGCTTTCGTGGAAAATTCAAAATAATACATCAATTTCAATAACTTCAAATTCGTTGTAACATAAAGCAAGTCACTCCCACACTGAATAGGCTACGGTAACCACTTACCATCAGGTGGACCGTATGCTTGTTTGCCACCTCAGTGGTATAAAAAAAAAATACAAAAATAACTGTCGAATACAAAAATTGTTGTAAATTTGATATCTTTATATTGTCTGTCTGTGGCGTCATAGCTTCTAAACCGATGAATCGATTTCATTTATTTGTACTATGTATTTGTACATGCAGAATTAACAATATTAAGTTATATGTGAATGTGAAAAGGACTCCATTCTCCGCGCTTAGCCTCTCATTTGGGCCATTGTGCGTATGAGTCGTGGCTAGTGCAGCCAACCTAGCTCCGTCCAGAAGCGCAGAAGCTTCCTGGGTTCTTCACAGGCCTCACGGAGCGACCTCACCGTTCCGAGGATTTCTAAACGTTGATGGGCCACAGCCTCACATTCCAGGATTACGTGAGCGGCCGTTTCTTCGGCGTCGAATATTAAGTTATAATATAAACATAATAAAATCTGTAACATTCAGTGTGTTTTATTTTTATAATTTTTTTATGCAACTTCGAATGGTCCACCTGATGGAAAGTGGTAACGGACGCCAATAGACATGAACAGTACCAAAAACATAAT